TTTTCATCGATATCTGACACATGGCCAAAGTCATAGGACACCTCGCCATTCACTCCCTCATCAGCATCTGTAGCGCTGACTCTAACCACTACAGTATTAAGAGGAGAGTTTTCGGGTATGCTGGCTTTATAGACGGCTTGGCTGAATACTGGAGCATTATCATTAGCATCCAGTACGGTGACATGTATCATAACAGTGCTTGATCTCTGTGGTGAACCACCATCAACAGCTGTGAGAGGTAAATTAATCTCTCGCTGTGTTTCTCTGTCGAGTTTGTGATCAAGAACAAGCTCAACGTTGTTTGCATCAACCATTAAAATAAAGTTATCATTTTTTTGTAGACTGTACCTCTGAACAGAATTTTTGCCTATATCCGCATCGTGCGCGCCCTCTATTCGGAAACGAGTCCCCTTTTCTGCTGACTCACTTATTTCCATTTTAATGGAATTTCTTTTGAATTGTGGAGAGTTGTCGTTTATATCTTGAACATGTAGATTTATACGATGTAGTTCTAAAGGATTCTCCAGTACAAGTTCCTGGATTAAAATGCATGACGATTTCGTGCCACAAAGACTCTCTCTGTCAAGCTGCTCGGCAACGCTCAAATCTCCCGTTTGTAAACTAACGGCACAAAATCGTTCGTTATCTCCTTCTGCGTCAACACGGGCCTTGCGAGATGACAATGTAGTAATATCCAGACCAAGATCCTTAGCTATATTTCCAAAGACAGTTCCTGGTTTCAGCTCCTCTTGGATAGAATAGCTTACTTCAGTACACACTGATTGCAGCGCAAGTATACAGACGACAAAGAGGGTAATCAGGCCAGGCTCTAAAAATCCACCGTATTCCATAATTACAAAAACAGAAACATCCGCCAGCAAAGAAAAGATACAACGGAGTTAGTTCACCTCTCGAACGCGTTTGCGATGGAGTGAATTAAACAAATCCAAATACAGAAATCAGCACTGCAATCCAATGGTTCCTTCCAACACAAAGCGCAGGAACAATG